TTTCCGTGTCCGGCAACGGATCGCAACCCTCAGTGTTGCCCCCGTACCGGACCGGGGACCGGCAACGGGATCGCAACCCTCGGCGTTGCTCCCGCGCCTCGCTCAGCCAGTGAGTGGGAACCGGTCTGTATGTGGGATCCGAACCCTCAGGAGGGAGCGCCGCCGCGCTTCCCAAGCGGCGCACTTATCCAGTGCGCCACCGGGCCGGCCCCGAGAGCCGCTCTGTTTTGAAGCTGGTTCCTGACAGGTCCACTTCCGTCTTGGAACTGGACCAACCTCCCGTGTCATGCTTCCCCGCGGCTCCTCCTGGGGGCCAGATCCTCACTGCCCTGTGGGCATCACGCACCACCCAGCTCGCCCAGGCCCCCTTTGGGTGTGTGTGTGAGGCCCTGCTCACTCAGCCATCCGTCCCATCAGTTCATGGGTTTGCTTAGCTACAGTGCAGCCGGTGTGCAAGACCCTGGGTGCGACAGGAAGGAAACTAGGAGCAGGTTCCTTCTCTGGAGGAGCTTACGTTCTAGCGAGAGGTGTCAGGAAAAAAGGACAAAGAATTTCAGAGAAGAGCAATGAGAAAGAAAATGAAATGAGGCGAAAGGGTCTGGAAAGGCCTTGTGAGGGGGTGTCAGAAGCTTCCAGCCAAGCGTGGAGATGAAGGGCTGCCAGCGTAGGTGATGAGGCAGTGGGTTTTGGGGGGACTGGGCTCCACTCCCAGGTGGCAGGATCTGCTCAGGTTGGAGGGAGGTCCCCCGGGCTGCTGTGCAGAGCCTGGGAAGGAGGCACAGAGCTGCAGGGCAGGTGGTGCAGGCCTGGCAAGGTCAGGGACCATCTCCGGCCAACCTCCAAGAGCAGCAGCACCTGTGCTGGGCTAAGGCCACCCCTTGCCATGAGGACAAGGGGACCACAGCCTGAGACAGGCACAGGCTCCATGCTGTTAGGGCAGCAGCGGACTTGGCCATCCAGGCAGGGCTTGTGGGTTATCCCCAATCCAGAAACAGCCTTGAGAAGTCAGGGCAGCACAGCTGGTGGGCCCTGCCTCAGGTGTTCGTGAGTGGCATGGCCTCGAGGACTGCCTTGGTTGTACACGAGTGGGGTTGAGCCTTTGAGCCCACTCCCATGAAGCTGGCGGCTTGGCAGGCCTTTGGAGGCCCTGCCAGTTCCCATATCAGGAGGCTTGGCAGGAGCTTGTTCAGGGTCACTGTGCATGGTCTTGTTAGGAGATGGGCCATGCTGTGCACATCCCCTCCTTAGGGATCAGAGCAGTTTGGCTTTTGGAGAGTGTCAGGGTGGGTGGACCAGGACACAGAGGGTAGAGGGTTGGGCAACCCATGGGAACAGCCTGCTCTTTTCTCCCAGCACAGTGACTCGGATTCTGACCCCGAGTATTCATCCCTGCCGCCGGCCATCCCCAGCGGTGTGCCTGTGACTGGGGAGTCCTTCTGCGACTGTGATGGTCAGAGTGAGGCTTCTCTCTGCAGCAGCCTGCACACGGTGCACCGCGGCAAGGACTGCCGCTGTGGGGAGGAAGATGAGTGTGAGCGCCCTACAGCTGGGTGGGCGCCAGCTGGGAGACCCCCACAGCTGTGGGTAGGTGGGCAGGTGGGGCTCTGGGACTGCCCCAGCCCTGGCCTCTCACACTTGCAGATTTTGACTGGGTCTGGGATGACCTGAACAAGTCTTCTGCCACCTTGCTCAGCTGCGAGAACCGCAAGGTCAGCTTCCACATGGAGTACAGCTGCGGCACCGCGGCCATCCGGGGCACCAAGGAGCTGGGGGAGGGCCAGCACTTCTGGGAGATCAAGATGACCTCGCCCGTCTATGGCACTGACATGGTAAGCAGCTGCAGGCCTGAGGGCAACTTCCCGGAGCCCCAGCCATGGGCGCCCTCTGCCTGGCCCTATTGTTCTTAGATGGTAGGCATCGGGACGTCAGACGTGGACCTGGACAAGTACCACCACACGTTCTGCAGCCTTCTGGGCAGGGATGAGGACAGCTGGGGCCTCTCCTACACAGGTGTGTGCCTGGGGCAGGCGGCCTGGGCTGAGGCATGGTGGTCGGGGCTCCTGCACTCACCTGTGACCCGGCTGCCCCCAGGGCTCCTCCACCATAAGGGCAACAAGACGAGCTTCTCCTCAAGGTTTGGCCAGGGCTCTATCATCGGCGTGCACCTGGACACTTGGCACGGGACGCTGACCTTCTTCAAGAACAGGAAATGCATAGGTGAGGGCAGCACAGGCTTCCCACAGCTGTGACTTTGAATGGAGTGGGCTTGCAAGAGGTGGACACCCCAGCCCCAGTGTATTCCAAGCCAACCAAGCACCTGAGGCTTCCTGAAGAGCTTCCTCCTAGAAGTCACAGGTCCCATGGTAGGACAGCACAGGGGCCAGGCTGGGGTCACAGGTAATCTGCCCTCACTCAGCTGTGGAGGCTGCTGACCTAAGTCACACAGTGCCAGGTCCCTTCCCTGCCCCTCCTTATGGGCTTAGGGTTTAGGCTGTGCTCCTCCCTTCCAGGAGTGGCGGCCACCAAGCTGCAGAACAGGAAGTTCTACCCAATGGTGTGCTCCACGGCAGCCAAGAGCAGTATGAAGGTGATCCGCTCCTGTGCCAGCACGACCTCCCTGCAGTACCTATGCTGCTATCGCCTGCGCCAGCTGCGGCCCAACTCTGGGGACACGCTTGAGGGCCTGCCCCTGCCACCTGGCCTAAAGCAGGTGTTGCGCAATAAGCTGGGCTGGGTCCTGAGCATGAACTACAGCCACCGCAAGCCCCCAGCGCCCTCGTCCAAGGCTGCAGCCCCAGCCAGTCCCAGCAGCCCCGAGGCCAGGCCCTGCCAGAGGAAGCGCTGCCGACGGACCTGACTTATTTTCCAGTGACAACTGCCTTCTTGGGCTGGGATGACTTTTCTCTCTGAACCTCCTGGCCACACTCCAGGGCAATAGGAGAGGAGGAAATTGAGGCATCTGTCTGGGGCTGTCCTCCCACCTCCCACGAGGCCAGGACGACCCTTCCTACAGGGCTTCACGGCCACAGGCTGTTGAGTGTCAAGTCCACTGTACTGCCTACACCAGCTAGGGATGCAGCAGCAGCCGTTCTCCAAGTCTCTGGAGCTGTAGCCCAAGCCCTTCTGAACTCAGAGCTGGGGCCCAGAAGGCTGCTGCTGTGGAAGAAGGGCCTTGCTGGAGCTCAGCAGATGCTGTGCCTGCGGGGGCCTGGGTGTCTCCTAACTTGCTTTGCATGTCGTCAACTGCTCTCTGTCACAGAGACTTAAGTGACCATAATAAATGTAGAGTTTAAACACTGCTGCAAGAGCAGATGAGTCTGACTGGGGCCCAGGGCTTGCTAGTGTCCGTAGTCTTTCTTCTGGTGGGTCTGGCTCCATCTCAATGCCCATAGAAAGGGCAGCCTGGTTCTTGTTCCTCCCCTGAGATGTCCTATTGCTGCTTCTCAGGCTGGCCATCCCTGATCTTCCAGGTGGCGGTGGCGACCTGGGTGCTGCCCTGCAGGCCCTCCTGATTGTCCCAGCTGGACATGTGGCCCTGCCGCCAGTCTCCCCTGTGACCAGTGTGTCCAGGGCTGAATGCAGGTGACCCCCATCCTCTCCAGACTCAGGCTGCTCACTGTCTATGGGCTGAAACAGAACGGTCTCCTCCACTCATCCCAGTTACCTGAGTACTTTCCATGCTGTCCTTGCATTCCCCTTGGGGTTGGGCCTGACGAAGCTGGGGTGCTGCCCACCAGGGTGTCGGGTGACCCCCAAGTTGGGCTATGTGCTGTCATGCTTGAAGGCAGGTGTAGTCAGGAGCCCAGGTCCAGCAGAAGGTCAGGGTTGGTAGTGGTCAGGAAGAGGCAGATGCGGTGGGAGAGGTCAGGTCCCACCCTGCGGGGCCGCATGCCCTCACCAGCCTTCACAGGGAGGTCAGCCAGGAGGCCCAGGCGCTTCTGCTCCGTGCTGCAGGCCGCGAAAGCCTAGGACAGGCACAGGGATGAGCAGGGCAGGCCTCTGGGACCTGGGAGGGGAGTGGGAGTGGGGCTAACCTGCTGCAGAAGATGGGGGAAAGGGAAGGCGGTGACAATGGCATCTGCCACAAGCTACGCTGACCCGACTGAACTGCCTGATCTGTCTCTGTCAGGCCCCCCGCAGCCCTGTGCCATCTCTGGCCACTGGCTCGCCTCCTGCCCAGTGCCCTGCGGTGCAGAAGGAAAAGGCCTGGGATTCCTGGTATTGCCTAAAGACAGGGAGGGAAACAGGAGGCCTTTTAGAGGCTTCGCTTCTCCTGGGCCCCAGCCCCCATTCCCAGCAAGCTCTACCATGCCCTCCTGCGCCATCCTCCAAGAGTGGGGAGAGATGGGAGAAGAGCACCAGCAACTGCAGGCAATCCTGTCCCACCGGCCGCAGCCTTCTGCCTGGAACAGGAGGGTCGCACCTGAAAGGGCGCTGGGCGAAAGCTTTGGTGAAGGCACACACGTGCTGACTCAGCTCCTGCCAGGAGTCCACCAGCAGCACATCCAGGTCTGCCCAGAGCTGCAAAAGTACCAGAGCCTGGAGAGATGAGGTCAGCTGGGAGCAGAGGAGGGCCCTCAGGGCACACTCCCCTGAGATCAACACCATATGCCACCTGGGAATCAAGCCCGGCCCTGCTGGGCCTCAGAGAGCAGCCGCCTTGCCACTCCAGCCCTCTCCTCCTCCACCTCAGGCCAGCCGACCGCATGGGCCACCTCTGGATTTTCTGGTTTCTGCATCCCTCGGGCAATGAGCGAGTGAGACCTGAGCAAAGATAACTGTCTCTCCAGCTCCCTACACCCCATCTGTCCTGCCCTCCCTCCCTGAGTCCTTCTGCTTCTGCCAGAGCCCACCCTGTGAAGTGGGATTAGCTGTGCCACAGCAGCCCCCTGAGGAACCCCCACCTTCCCTGAACCTCCCCCAGCCAGCCCAGCTAAGGGCGTCAGGGTGAGTGGTACCACAGGTAGGCATCCAGCCTGATGACGGCCAGGTGCAGGAGAGCAGGGCTCTTGGGAGAAGTCCAGGGCACCGAGCAGATTGGGCCTGAGATGTGAAGGCGAGAACACATAGCTCACTTGTTTGTCAGGGCTGTGGCAAAAGGGCCCTCGGTCACCAGGCCATGGCCAGTTTGCTCAAGGAGAAGGAGCAAGCCCGAGAAACAGCCAGTGGTGCAGGGAGAACCCTAGTGGGTACCTCCTCTGCTCAGCCAGCTCTCTTGAGAAAAGCAGCTCTGGGCCTTCCAAGAGGTCAAGAGGCTGGAGAGGGCCGGCCCCATGGCGCACTTGGGAGAGTGCGGCGCTGGGAGCGCAGGGACGCTCCCGCCACGGGTTCGGATCCTATATAGGACTGGCTGGTGCGCTCACTGGCTGAGCGCAGTGTGGGCGATGCCACACCAAGGGTTGCGATCCCCTTACCAGTCAAGAAAAAGACAAAAAATAAAGAGGCTGGAGAGAGCTCTCTGGGCACCTCTCAGGCTTTGAGAAGAGGTGTACTGAGCTCCCTCATTCCTAGTCCACCTCTGCCTGGCATTTACCTGGTACGTAGCAAATGCTTGATAAAGGCTGACTCTTGGACACTGGGACCCAGCAAAGGGTCTCACCTAACCACACTCAGGCGAAAATGCCGGCTCGGCTTTCTGTTCCCCCAGCCAGGCTATCTGGGCTGTTGGCTGTCACTGGTGAATACCACAGCCAGCCTCAGCCCTGCCTGGACACTTCCAACCTGAGTCCCCAGGCCCCCTCTCGCCCATTTACTGCCCCTGACTCCCAGCTCTCCTAAGACCACTCTATCTTGGCTTCAGCCTGCTAGGACCAACTGCAGCCTCTGTCTGCACTCTTTCCTACATCTCACCCTACACATCTCTGCGGTCTTACCAGAGAGGAGTCCCAGCCCACCCCATGCCCCCCTCCACCCTCACGATGTGTGGAGGACTACTGTCCCCACTCAGCACCTGGGTCAGCTGGCCAACACCTTGCAGGAACTCCTCTGGCTCCAGCAGCAGCAGCAGCTCCTCCTCATCCGAAGCCCACACCTCAGGAGGCACCTATAGGAACATCTGGGACACACTACTTGCCTACCCTTAGCCTGAGGTGCCTCAGGGCCTCTGCCACAGCCAAGCCCCAGACCCGCTGGGACTGCTCTACAGAAACCCAATGCTCCTACCACGACCAAGACTAGCCCAGGTCCATGGGGCCCACAGGAACAATGACCACAGCCTCGGTGGGGATGGGTCATTCAGCAGCAACTCAGCTGAGGCTCTGGAGCCCAGCCTTGTTTCTGTTGATAGCACAGCGGCTTGGGCACCACCCACCAAATGCTCCCCATTCTCAGCCCACCCATCTGCAAGATGCGCAAAGTGATGGCAGTTGCTTCTCGTGACAGATGCAGTACGTGAAGTCAGGGACCTAAACACCCTACCCACGGCTGGCGCTGGGGAAACGGGCTCCTGCTGCAGGAACCGGGCACACTCACACCGCGGGGGCAGGGGCCGGGCCTCGCTCTGCTCCACTGCAGGCTCCGGGCCGGGCGCTGGGGCTCGATGCGGAGCTCGCAGCCCAGGGCCCACAAGGCCTCCATCAGGACGTCGGCACCAGCATCTTCCAGGAAGGCTGAAGCCGCCGGAGGAGACAGCTCAGCCGCTCCCTCCTCCCGCCCGCATGAGGGCCCACCCGGGCCCGAAGCCGCCCCACCCTGCCGCCCCGTGGGTGCCCCCCGTGCCTCGAGTCCCCTCCGCGGACAGCGCCCCGAGCACCTGGGTCCTCACGCATCGCGAGGCGCCGTAGAGCCTGTTCGGGCCTCAGCGCCTCGGCCGCCGCTCCGCGCCCCTCCGCCGAGGCCCGCGCCCCCGCCGCCCCTGCTCCGCCGGCCTCCTCGGTGTCCAAGCCCGAGATCTCCCAAGTCGGGGACCGCCGCTGGCCCCGGGCCCGGTCCCTCCCCCGGCGAGAACCCGGAGCCCTCTACATGGGCGGCCCTGACCGCTCGGCTCCGCTTCCGGCTGCGCCCGGACACCTTTAGTCGAAGCACAGGGAGCTTCCGGCGGCGACGGTGGATTCCGGCGGAGCGCCAAGGGCGCAGACCAGCCATGGCGCGGAAGAAGGTGCGGCCGCGGCTGATAGCGGAGCTGGCCCGTCGCGTGCGCGCCCTGCGCGAGCAGCGGGAGCGGCCGCGCGACTCGCAGCGCTATGCCCTGGACTACGAGACGCTGACGCGGCCGCTCTCGGGCCACCGGCTGCCCATCCGGGCCTGGACCGACGTGCGCCGCGAAAGCCGCCTCCTCCAGCTGCTCTGCCGCCTTCCGCTCTTCGGCCAGGGTCGTCTGGTCACGCGCAAGTCCTGGCTATGGCAGCACGACGAGCCGTGCTACTGGCGCCTCACGAAGGTCCGGCCCGACTACACTGCGCAGGTGCGTGTGCGCCCGCGCCCAGCCGCCGGACCCCGCGCGCCTGCCCTCCACGCAGCGGCGGGAGGGAGCCCCTGTCCCGCATCTCTGGAGGGCCAGGGGCTTTCTGAGTTGACCCGTTCCCCGATTGCTTTGCAGAACCTGGACCACGGGAAGGCCTGGGGCATCTTGACCTTCAAAGGTAAGGGTTGGGAGTCAGGCTGGGGGAGTTAGTGGCAAGCAAAAGACTTAAGCGAGTGTGCGATAAGTCCTGTGTCTTTCCCAGGGAAGACGGAGAGCGAGGCCCGGGAGGTCGCACAGGTCATGTACCACGACTGGCGGCTGGTGCCCAAGCACGAGGAGGAGGCCTTCACCGCGTTCACGCCAGGGCCCGAGGACACCCTGCGCTCCGTGCCCTACCCGCCGCTCCTTCGGGCCATGATTCTCGCAGAGCGGCAGAAAAATGGGGATACCAGCACCGAGGAGCCCATGCTGAATGTGGAGAGGGTACGAGTCGATCCCTGGGACTACCCTGCAAAACAGGAGGCAAAGAGAAAGGCCAAGGGCACCCCAGTCTAAAGTACCAGACCCAGCAGTTTTTCTGAGAGGTGTAAGGCGGTGAGGACCATTCTGACAGAAAAATGTCTGGGTTATGTTCGAGTCAGTTCCCTGGGAACTTGGATTCCGCCTTCTGGTGATTCGTTGTGAGGCTCTGCGTTTTGGTGGAGAGGGCTGGAGCAGACTTTGCCCGTGTGTCTTCCCGCTGGCCCTGCTACCCCAACACCCAGCTCTGTCTGAGGGGACACGCAGGAAGGGCTGCCGGGAGGCAGGACCAGCAGGTGTGGAGCCCCTGCGCGGGCACTGTCACGTCGTGCTGGCTCTTCTCCCCGCGATTGTTGCTTCTGCCAGGATCCAGGCAGCAGCTATGCACGGGAATAAAGACAAACAAAGCAGCCTGGGTTGTGGTTTCTTTGGGTTTGGGGTTGGGGGAACCAGAGCGGGCTGTCTGCAGAACTGTCGGAAAGGAAAGGCTGGCGTCGTGGTTGTGCAGCTGGCCTGGGAGTGCCAGCGGTGCCTAGCAGGCTAGGTGGGAAGACCTGAGCGGGTTGGGGGAGGCGCAGTTAGGGTCCGATGACTTGGCTGCTGCAAGTGCCTTCCGGCCCCCCAGGACCCCTGGATGCCCAGGGTGCAAATGTAGTAGCCCCGGGTCCGGAGCACGACGGCGCCGCCTCCTGCAGCCGCCCAGGTTCCCAGACGGCGTCGCAGAGGCAGCAACGCCCGGCCGAGGCCCCTTTAAGCGCAGGCCCCGCCCCGTCGCCCCCGCCCCGCCCGCGCCCCTGCCCGCTTCACCCCGCGCTCGCTTCACCCCG